ATCTGAGGTGTGGACGTGGAGCTTCAACGGATCCCAAAAACCTAGCAAATCCCGCACTTTGATTTCGGGGTGTTACCCGGACACACTTAAGACTTAAGATCCCCTGACCCCGTGGCCTGCAACTCTCAAATTCAGAAGTGGTAGAAATGCCCCAAGCTCCCGACCCGTATACCTACCGAAGAGCATGGATGCAACTTCAGCGACGTGCAAGAGAGAGAGAGAGAGCGAGAGACAGTGAGACGTCCTTGCATGAGCTCTAACTTCACTGCCTCCTGAGAGTTTTGACAAGGCCGGACTAGACCAGCCTTGCTGCCTTGCCCTTGCCGTTCGTCAGGCTGTTTGCACACAGTACCCGAAGACAAACATGTTGGCAGGCTCGCGAAGTGCTGAAGCCTCTGAACTCTGGGTGCCTTGAGGAACTTGCGCATTCTCGTGAGACAGTTCCGGCATCCGCGTTTGCGTGGTTTGCGATTACGAGTTGGTGCTTCTTGCCTGTGCCAGGGCTCTTGTGCGACCATGGCCTGATGTGCCGAGTGCGCGCTGCGTGCTTGGTGAATAGAAAGGCGCACCCCGGATTGCCTGTGTTTTGGGGCAGCGGGCTGTCTGGCAAGACGTTCCGGATATCCTTTAAGGAAGTACAGATCTCAGTAGCACAGTTTGCCAACAAGGGACCGCAACGTAGACCTACCAATGAGCAGCTGAGAACAAGCTATTCTTGCAAAGTCCCTATAGGACTACACTTCGTATAGTATATCCTCCATCAGGACCCGTATTAACATGTCAACATCTGGTTGTATTTCCTCACGTTATTTAGACGGTACAGTCTCTTGCAGAAGATGATGATAACAAACCTTGTTCATCAGTTTGCCATTTTGTTTGTAAGCCGACTTGAGACTATAGAACGAACTCTCACATTGGGTCCTTCTCTGGTGAGGACATGGAGGCGCTGCTGCAGGCGCGCCTACAACCCAAACTTAGCTCAATCTCGCTCAGCCAGATCCCAGCAAATTTGTTCCAGGGCGGATGCAAGGATCGGTGTGTACATCAGGTGCATTGGGTGCATTGCAATGCCATAACATCGACGACGTCTTTGTTTTTTTTTGCATCGCGAGTCATGCGCCTCGAATCTGGTCTGTTTGTCAGTGTGGCCAGTAACTTGACGGCCGAAGGAGTGGATTGATGTTAACAGAGTTGACACGATGCCCACCGCCATCCTATTCATGCGCAGTCTGAAGTACGCTTCACCCTCGTAATGGCTGGCACATCCTTGCAGTTACTTTATGCGAGCTGCAGCGAGGGAAAGCACAAAGTACAAGCCCGGTTTGACGAGGGGCTCAAGCTTCAATAAATGCCAGTGCACCTGCAGTTGCAGATGCAGAACAGACGTTTGGCCAAGCATCCGTCCGTTTTCTGACGCTTAGACCATGAACCGGCACACTGAGGATTACTTGCCCCCTTGTTTGCACAGTCCGTCAGGCGTCCGAAGAGAAAGACCAGCTCTGATGCTCAGATGGCCTTCGACAGCAACTTGAAAGTCCTTCGCTTCGGAGCTCGTTCAGCGTTCTACATTTCACCATCCTCGGTATGCACGTCGCACGCCCACACCACCCGCTCACACCCGCCCACCTGACACAGAGCCTAAATCTCCTCGAGATTCAAAGAGAACAGAACAGCTTTTCCTGAGGGCCTTCCGGGAGCTTTGGCCCGAGTCACCGAGCTCCGCGCGTGCGAAGCTGAAGACGGGGCAGCGAGCTTGGCAAACGGAAGGGAGAATTTTGGGGATTTGCGAAGATTGGATTGGGGCTCCTGAATTAGGGCCTTGGCATCTAGACCGCAGTAGGAATTATGGCTTTGCGAGGGTAAGATGCCGAGGTTAGGATTCGCTATCTTGGGCTTTGAAATCTACATCTTGCAACTTGCAACGGTCAAACTTCCGAGCTTACCGCAGCATGTTTCTGAATGTCCAGATCGCAGCAAACGCCTCTTACATGTCGATGTGGAGCCGCTGTCAAAGTGGTTGAGACGTGATCCTACCGTAGCTTCCACCACGCACTAGGAGAGCTCGATTTCAGCCTGTGCTGACATTGCCAAGTTATTTCCTTTCACCAAACTGGCTTTCCAGCTGCCGTGTTGGCTTACAGTAACACAGACGAATGACGAACGTGTCATACTGTCGTTAGCCAGGGCGAGTTGTTGAAGGATGGCGTACGCATCTGCTTCGCTGCTGCATTCTGGCAGGCACTTTGCACTGTGACAGATTTTGTTCAAGACACTCAGACTCTCGTGCAAGACTCGTTTGAGGAAGATACAGGATCATTGCTTGTCTGCCGCGGTGCTGAGCGATGGCCAGTCGGCGCAGCCGCGAACGAAACGGAGCGAGGCAGAGTTAAACACGGCAAATGACACTGCAGAAATTGTTCTCAAAGCACGGATCCATTGGAGACTTACTAGGGTTGGCGACGGGTTGCACGACATGTCAGCATTCCGCACATGCAGTGTGTCGCAGGCTCTGAATGAACGGGTGCCCATCGGCGTATAGTGGAGGTGGTGTATGTTTATACCGACTCCTGGTGTGTAGTAGGCTTCGTAGGCAACATTCCATTGCCAAGCTGCCGAGTGAGTCGTGGGCAAGTAATCGCCAGATGAAGTCGACACAATGTTTGCGGGGCTCGTTTTCACCAGTAGCTAAAAAGACAGTTAAACACATGTCGTTTGTTGGGCTGGAAGTTGCTGCAAGGCGTAGTCGCAGCCGTCGACGTGACCGGCGGCGGCCAGAGCGGAGAAGAGGCCATCTCAAATATTCTCATCGTCTTGGCTATTTGGCGTCCTTGTGGTTGGGACATGACTATACAACCAGCTGCAATCCAAGAAGAACAGCATCGATGACATGGCGCCTGCGCTTCTACATGAAGCCTTGTTGACAAAACATCACAGTCCTGCAGCGTCGTTTCTCGCTTCTGCACGGGTCAGTGCGGAAAGGCTGGAATGGATAGATTTGCTGGAATCATGATGTCGCCATGTCCCCGTGTTCTCTTTTCACCCTATTCAGGCATTAAACACATGCTCAAAATGTCATATCAGTTTCGCTCATTGGCGCCGCAATAGTCCACCAGGCGCCTCATCTCCCTCGTCTTCTTCGGGCACCTGGATTCGGATCAGAGAATCAGAAGAGTACGGTCTTATAGTCTATTCCCGGGCACGCTGTGCGTTTGGACGAGTCCGGTATCTCAGAACACAAGCTGCACCCAGGCTCGTCGAAAAGAAAGACATCCCGCACTCCGGCGTCGAAGTTCGACGAGGTGAAGGTGGAAGCGACTTGATTCGGGTCTGCAGCCATGCCACTGGGCAAGCTCGGTCTTGGGACTCGAGGCTCAGGGTTTTAAGAGCAGCATCTGAGGGTTAACGTCGCGCCCCCCCATGACTACAGCCCATGGTGTTGTTGTGAAGCTGCGGCTCTAGGATTCGAGGGCAGGCATGCTGGAGCGAGCATACAGACACACGACGTTAAGATGTTGTCAGTTGGTGGATCGCTTCTTCGACTGCCACCTTTATGGCTCGAGACTCTCTTACGACCCAGAAAAGAAAGCGGGGCCTCCGAGATCACACTCCGCAGACCTAAGACTGTTCTAGCCACACCCAAGCCCAAGCCACACCCCGACCCTGAAGTCTGCACCAGCTTCAATACTCCAGATATCTCGGGTTTTGTCGAGCCCTATGCTTGGAAGCCCTTCTGGCAGCACGTCCTAGGGCATACCAAACCCCAGCAAAACTTCGCAGAGCAGCTTCACAATCCAACAGTTGTTCCGTTTCCGGGCCGTGACTTGGCCCCATTCCATACCAAGGCGGTTGACGCTCGGAGTTGTCCGGGGAGGCTGCCTAGTATGAGTAGTGACTATTGTGTTCATCGTGTGAATGACTGGAGTTGGTGGTGAAATACATGATAGTGTTTTGCATGAAAAGAGGTGTTGGAATTGCAGTTTCGATGGATGGGACAATAGGGATATAGGATTTAAGTCTCGAGTACTCCATTTGTTCGCGCTGTGCCCATCGGTGCAGCTGGCAACCTGTTTCTGGTGGGCGCAGCTGTCTTCCGCACTGAAGTGGCAACTCGTCCCTGTCCGATGAGAAAGTCTGGAGATTGAAGGAAGCTAAACTTCGGATCTGTAGCTCACGACCGGCTGAAGGGAGCAGCAGCCTTGGAGCATCAACGAACCGATCTGACTATACTGGGGCTTGCACTGCTGGTGGTATGGGCCGAGTACCAACTGCGAACTCATCGATTTTGTTAACGACTTATGGTTGCAAAGCGGTTCAGTCTACGGCTCAGGTACTGTACCTCACAAGTATCGAAGATCTGCTGCTTGATGCAAGAAAACTGGAGTGTGATGTGTTCGACGACCGGGGGCGTTGGAGGTGTAAGTAATCTTCAGCAGGCGACGATGACCAGTCAGCGCAAGCTGGATTTCGCATCTTCAAGCAGAACTCTGGAATACTCCCTAACTGTTGCCGGTATACGTTTAATGTTCTTTGAGGACGAGTTGCAGTGAAAGCCGAGGTGCTGAGAATTCGTGCTTCGTGCTAAGCAAGATCGAGAAGGACACCAAGGAATCGCGTGCTGTTCACCTGATTGCTGGATGGAGTGCATGGTGTGTTTTGCCGGTCGTTGTCAACTTGGGTTGAAGTTCAGGTAGACAGAGAGCTATGTAGACAGCGTGCTGGAAGTTTCTGCAGTCCAACCCAGGATGATCTTAAGTGCATTTGCAGGAGCAGATCCAGCAAATCATTTATTTGCAGCTGGTGTGTCGAACATGTGCTTTCGCTTGCACGAGTCCGGCTTGACGTCGACTTATCATGCTGACTGAGATGTATCGGCGTTCTGATTCTTAGTCTCATTCTTCGTCTTAGTGATCTTATTTGTCCTAGATGTCTGGACCTCGCGCCTCTTCCACCTACATCTGTGCAAGCTCTTCTTCTACCTGGAAGCTGACATCTGCCAAGGTATGTCTACCGCCTTCAGCAGCCTCTGCCAGCCCCACGGCACAAGGCCGCCAACAATGCAAGGCGCGCTACTGTGTAATTTATCCCAAACTCGCGGTCTGCCGCTCGGCAACGCGAAAAGGTCTACTAAGTTGCCCGTACTTTGCCTGTCATGCTTGCGCAATTTCGCCGGCGAACGAGCTGTAGGCGGCGCGCACTGCGTGCGGGTGGCCAAGCGCTCGGTACCTGTCCGGCGGCGAGCGCCTTGTCGGATACAGGACGAGGCCTGGCTCGAATGATGAAAACGGATTGCTCAAAGTGCTTGGAATGCCTTGCGCAGCGGAATCGAGCAACAGTATTGTTAAACGACATTTGCAGGCAGTGTCGCTCCATTCAACGGCTCCTTCACACTCCAGTCGAAGACACGTTGCAATAATAGTCCCCAGCCCGTTTTGCTGCCGAGGTGCATCTCGTTTCACGTCGAGTGACCCGACGGAGTTGGCTTTTCACGGTCTTGGAAACACGAATCTTGCTGGTAGCCGCACCATCCTGACGATAGAAGTGACAAACGTTCAAGAATCATATAATGCTGATAGCAGAAGAAATGGTTATTTGGTTGGGAGGTTGTCTGGATTGGCTGGGGGAGTGCATGAAGAGGGCCGACGCCAGCACAGTGGCTGGTGCTCGTGTGCGATGCTCGTTGTCAAAGTCCTTCCAGTGATTCCTCCGCCTGCAAGGCACACCGGCTAAGGGACGCCGCTCGACTCGCAAGCAGCTCTTTGCATTGCCCCCTTATAGAAGCCTTAGGATTAGTGGCGGAGGGATGCTTGGGACCCGTGGGCCTTGCGAACTTCAGAGTGTGACGAGGTTTCCGACCCCTGGCGGTCTTTAGTCCTCGAGATGTGTTGTGGATGCTGTCGGCATCATCACTGATCACCAAACATCAGTGGATTCCCAGCAGCATCTGACCATGCCGAACCCTACCATGCAGTGATCTGCATAACCCCGCGAACGCTTACAAAGCTGCAAAACCCCAAGTCCAAAAGTCCTGCGAATGCCAGAACGTAGAGCCTAAATGCAATCGGAAGAACGTTGACTGTCGCACTTGTGGCCAAGGTCCCCGCGTCCTCCCCGCGCACCGGGTACAGGGCTCGGCACAGAGGTTATTTGGTTCAGGTCTAGGTTTTAGGACTGCTTTGGCGCAGGGTTTCGGGGTGTGGGATTTCGGATCGGGTTCTGGCTTCTGGAGTTTGGGGTCTCGTATCCTCAAGTGAAGGGACTCAGAGCAAAGAAGCCAACCGAACAGCAAGGCTTCTTATCGTAGCAGACAGCCCTCGAGGCCGGTTGAGCCGCCACCAGTTCCTGGACCGGGTGAGCGGAAACGGGCGTCCGAGCTTGCAACAAGTGGACTTTCAGGGTTGGGCGCAGGCTTCGGTGATGCAGATTTTTCAATCAATTTTACGACAGTTTTCAATGTGGAGTTTCAGGCAGTGTGGGCCGCAAGCCTCCGTAGCTGGAAGTGCTGGAAATTGCGTATGGATGTCAGGCTACCGCACAGCTTCAGGCCCTTGATCTTATACGGACGTAACTCCCGGTGCTCGTTTCAAGCCAGGGAGGAGCCTGTTTGCACAACTGGATCATCTCGGGTGCATTTTGTAACTGAGGATGCAGCCCTGCATAGAAACAGACACTTCCATGATTGAATGGCAATGAGACCCATGTCCACAGCCAACGTTAGTTTGCGTGGTAACTATATATATATATATAGCGATGGCAAAATAAAGCCCGTGGTGGTCATGTGCCATCCACCTTGAAGCCTGTGCAAAGTATTGCACGAAAGCTGAGAAGCCCTGCGTACCTGCGGGCCTCTGCATGTCCTGCATCCCAGGTACGCCTCGGGATGCCCCTTTTCGGAATCCCCAACCTTGCTAAGCTGCTAGCTAGACTCCGCTAGACGTCTCGACGTTTTGGATCCTCCGACTGAAAGGAACAAGTCGTTGACCGCCTTCGCTTGCGTCTCGTCAGTCGCCGTGCAACGCAGCTTATCGTCGCCTGATGGCAATGAGGGCTTCCTGCGCTGGGCGATTGGGAATTAACAGTGTGTGAAACCTAGATTTCTTGGCTCACTCAGGTAGTTTCAGAATGTGTCGGTGTGTATGTGCCGACAGGTTGCATTCATGCCCTCGCGACTGGTCCGGTCTAGCAGGTGACGTTCCTCCTTTGCTGGTTGAGCTACATAGCGCAACATTCTTGTGTCTATAGGCCCTAAGCCCTCAAGTCGTTCGCTGCTGTGCTTTTAATCGCCTGAGCGCGTTCCATCACAGCAACGGCATTTGCGATTCGCAACATCCATCTGCTGGTAGATGGCCAAAAGGCCACCCAAATCGCAAGGCTGCTCGCTTCTTTGCTTCTGTCGTTTCCACACAGGGGCTCCTGATCTCGTGGCTACGAGGTTCGCTCACTCGAAGAGCCGACCATGGCAGACGTGATGGGGGTTAACAGGGCCAGTCAAGTTGTAATCAGAAAACAATGAAGAAGGTGCAGCGTTAGCAGACTTGGTCCGCATGCATGTGCAAATGTTATTGTTCTTTCGATATTACGGTAAAAATATTGCATTGTTGCTATGATTATGATCGTTACGGGCTACTATGATGACTATTGTTACGATCACTATCTACTATTCTATAACATGTGTATGTACATACATATACACATATACACCTTGTGCTACAGTTTTCGACATGATATTGTTGCCGTATGCAACATTCTATTGTGAAAAAACGGTCTATGATTCAGTATATACCCGCTGCAGCTCGGAATTGACCTTTTCTGCCGTTCATTTAATCGCCAACTACTCTCCGAGGAAGCGCTCGAGCGGCGGCATGGTGAGCGATGGTCCGAACGTGTGAAGGAAGGTGAGAGCCTTTCGAGGATTCAGGTTCAGAGGGCTTAGGATCGATAGGGTTTGTGAAGGTCCTGCAGGCTCAGATTCTTTGGCGCTTGGGGCAAGATGCGAAGGGTTGGACCAGTTTGTCGCAAGTGCTTCGCGTGCCTTCCGCGCCACCTCTCTCTCGGCCTTCGGTCAGAGACTTTGCGTTCAGGTAGTCTTTGGAGTCTTTGGGGTAGGGGACAGACGTTTATTGTCAGTTTTCATACAGTCCTATAGGAACTCCATCGACGTCGCATAGCGATTTTAACTGAACGTTGTGCGGACTGGTGCGGACACGACCCGATCCATGGTGACTACTTGCAGGTATGAACAACTGTCACTGAGAGTCCAACAACAACTTGCACTGAAGTCGAGGTGAGGGCAACTCAAACTGAAGCTTGTGAAGGTGGTTTCCACGTCGATGAGGCCATGCGACGCATTTGCGAGGCCGCTGCATCACACAAACTCCCATCTGTTTATGGCTTTTCTCTCCCTTCCATCCGCACGCTTGCGCTTGCGTGCTCCAGCACCTTGTGCAATAGGCTGTTTCGAACGCTCATACGAACCACGGACACTATCCTTTTCAAGGAACGGCTCGCTCCCTTGCCGTGCTGGCGTGGCTAGTGTTCAGAGCCAATTGTGGCAGGGTCTATTTCTGTAACTGGCCGCGAAAGCTGACCTTCATCTCCAACGCCAGTCTGCCGACTGAATACAAGTGACTGGAGATGGCTAGCACACCCTCTGAATCGGCTCGGTCTCTCGCGGAACGTTCTCTTCACATGTCAAACGTCCACGAACCTATAGCTCAAAGCTTCAGGCCCGCAGCCACAGGAACGTAACGCTACCTAAATCTATAAACCTTCGACTGAGACTTCGATGCCTGTTGGAGGCCTTCCAGCTGCGACCCGAACTGGAGCGGCAGGTGCACTGTGTATGTGTGCGCCTTTTTTCTTGACTCTAGTGACTCTAGTGTGCAGAGTTTCGTTGTCTACGCTTCGAACACTGGGTTGTCGATTGGTTCTCTGTTTCTAGTACCAGCGCAGTTCCCATGAACGCCAAGTGCCGGATGCTTTCAGGAGGGTCTTCTGGTGAAGTGTTCCTGATCTGGAGTGGCATGGTTCGCGCCGTCTCCCTCGTAGCCTACAATAGAAGCCAGAAAGTTGGAACTTGGGTTAAGGAGGATTAACGCTAGGCCTTATACTTTACCTTAAGGGCATGAGGATAATCATGTTCCAACTTTCTGGCTTCTACTTTACATTCAGCTTGAACCAGCCCGCCATCTCTAAGATATCCCGGGATCTTAAAAAGCTCAATCTTCACATTCTGCATCTTGCCAAGCATGCGAGGTTCTTACTCTGGCCCGGCACCGCGCGCAGGGCTGGCGGGGGGTAGTCGGCCTCAGTCTGTTGGGCTTGTTTTTCTGGAGGTTTCGGCTTCTCCCGAACTGTTGGCTTTCTTGAAGCTGCCTGTATGCCACGTGTGTCAGCTTTGGGCCTGGGGACATATCATGTAAGCCCCATCAGCGTGAGCCGAACCAGAAGTCGCCAAAGCCCCCTGAGCTTCCCAGACCCAGGCAGCCTCGGAATGCTCTGGGTCCCCGAGCGGCAGCGACGGCGAACAGCCGGCCACGCAGTCCAGGCATGAGCTTCTAAAGTTCGTAGGCGCCGGTGACCTTGCAATTGCTTGATTGAGATGCCCACTGCAAGACCATTTCATAAATTAACCACAGTCATTCAATCGATGAAGGCGTTTGACACTTAACCACCTTTGCAACAACTAGTAAGAGTTTCAGGAATGATCTAGTGTGTTGGGTCAAGCTTCTCGAACACTGTGTTTTACGTAGTTTGTCGTGCTGAATATGTTTTCAGTCTTGCATTTCGATCATTGTAACAGGAGGGTGCACACTGCCAGACTTAACAAGAAAAGCAGGCCCACGCACCCTCACTCCCAAAAGCTGTTCATGGCTGCACGAACCGGAGCACGTTGGTCCTCGGCACTCTTGTCAACACATGTAAATGAAGCGCTTTGACCGCTTCGCGAAACCACAGCTGCATGCCAAAAAACTCGTCGTCCTCCAAGCATTCCCCAAGACGTCCGAGGCATTGATGATTCAGGCCAACCCCCCAGCACGAATCGTTGTAGGCCGGGGCCCTTGCACAAGTTTGTCCTGGTGGAACACAGCTTCGAAGATGGCCCAGGCGCGCAGAGCTCCCACGCCTCGAAACTTGTGACATCTCCTGGCCGGTGCTAGCTCTGAAACTCTACAGAAGAATCCACTCCTCGTGCCTATGACCCTACATTATCAGGCTGCAGAGAATCTGGATTTGACATCGTGATTAGATCATGCTGCTGCTTTTCCCACTTATGGCTTAGGGTATAGCATGCACCATGCAGGCTCAACCAGGTCGACGGCCTCGACAGCATCCTTCGGATCGCTCTCATCGCCTTCCGAAGATGAGGCCGGCCTCTAGCACTCACCCTCGACTCTTCCAGATCGGGTCACTCTGGGGTGTATGCTGCCAAGCTGTGACGGCGGCTGCTCAGTTCCTTGTCGATACGGGCATCCCTTGCATGCGCAGGCCACGATAAAAGATCCTAGCGATCTGCTGTGGCAGGTGGCCGGGCGTGCAGGGTGGGCACAATTTGAGAGCAATCACTCGTTACCTGCGGTTCTCAACCTGCCGAATGCTACCTGCACCATCCCGGACCGGTCTTCAGATAGAGCCCAGCAACGCGACCCAACCGTCCTTTTTGGAATCCAAGCTCCTCTTGGCCCTGCGAGACTTAGCAGTTAGCAGCGCAGACTTTACCTAGCTTCAGGTTGGATGGGCTAGGTCCCAGATCACGCCACAGACCAAATCGGGCCCTCACCATGCCGTAGGTTGCCCTGCACATCTTCCATGCCTTTTGTCAGGGATCTTGTTTGAACAGAGACGGCATACTACTGATGCCAGCTGCACTGAACCGCATGCATCCACACATCGCACCAAGGAGATTGATTGGTTGATGGATTCAACTCAGCGACATAGCCTCGATGGTGGACCGAAAATGGGAAGGCCACGTTCCGCTTTATGGTGTGCCATTGGACTAACTTTTGTGAGTTCAGGCTGGTATGTTGGGTCAATTGGTGTCGGAGTCCGCCCGTGCAAACCTCAGTAGGACCTTCCAGCTTCTATAACACTTTGCAGGAGTTTGCAGAATCAAGAATTAACATATCTATAGTATATACTGTACTGTACTATAATGTACTATAACATGTACTACGAATATTCAGAGCAATCTGCAGGGCTCCCTGGCTGCAGCGTGCTCTGCGCACCCTGGACTTGGATCCGCCTGGCGCGAGGCGCATCGCTAGCCGTGGAAACAGCCGTCAGGACTTGCCAAGATTTTGCAGGCCTTGTCCCCAAATGATGTTACTGCAGACTGCTACTGTAGCTTTTGTCAGAATTTCTCTGTCGCGCCTTCTTGATCGAAGTAGGTGAGCCGAGCGAGTCAGCAGTTTTCTCGGAGTTCTGTGACAGGTTGAGGTATTCTTTTCAAGGCTGGAACGGCGACTGGAGAGTTTCACCTGAAACCTGAAGCCTGTGGAGGTGCGCAACGCCGCCTGCGGGAGAGGCCACGACCAAGTGCTCAAAAGGGGCCTGGTGGAAACGCGGATCAAATCATTTGGTTTCAGGGTTTGACGGAGACTTGCGAGGGTGTACGCAACATCACCTTGTAAGCTTGAGCATCGTCTCGTCGATGGGCTTCCTGCAGACTGGCATACCCTGTCGACTCACAGGGCGAGGAGGACGAAGAGCTCAGCCGCAAGTTGGTCACAGCCATCATCAACGCAGCTCCTTGGTTGATGTCTGCTGTGTCAGGACATGGCATTTGATGCCGTTTTGCAGGTGATGACCTCGGACTGCATAGCAGCATAGCAGAGACCCTATCAGCCCCTTGCATCACTTTCTGGATCTCCTCGGAGGAGCGCCATGCGGAGTTGTCCGAGACCTTGCAAGAGGTGCTCTGCACAGACTGCTCAGTTTCAAGTGCGACTGTCCAAAACTTTTGCCCGTTTGCCTGTCTGTACATCTCTCTCTCTCTCTATCCCCCTCTCGCCCTAGTGCGTTGAGCCGCTGATAGCCGGCATCGTTGACTGACCTTACAGTGGCCTGGCCATCCGACTCTCCAACATGCTGTCCTGCCATGAGAGCATCTTGCAGTCAGCACATTAAGGAGAGGCTCGATAGTAAAGCTTACATCCCGTTGGAGGCCGTTTAGTGATCCTTCCGATCGCAAGGACGCTTTCAGAAAAAAATGCGAGCTGCGCAAGCATAAACTAGATGACACGACCATGGAGCCTGATATCATGATTTTATTAGCGCAATGCCTAGTTCTGCACATTCGTACGAAATTCACCAGACTTCGCTTTGTGCGGAGGTCCTCGGAGACGAAGGCGGTGTTGACGATGATGACGATGATAGAGGGCCGCGGCGACAGCGAAGCAGCTGGGCCGTTTATACGGCGGGTCCTCGTGTTCGGTGCATGGTTGATGAAACTTGACTCTGCGACCTTCGGCTGTTGCAGTGCGGCTGTAGTTCAAGCGACTGCGATCAGCTTGCACAGCTGAGGCATCGATTTCCAAGACTCCGACATCCGCGACCCAGCTGAGCAGAAAGGAGTCCTGCCCCGTTGCCATTCTCAAAGATCTACCCAGCCCGAAGTCGTGACGGTCTGACTTACGGCCTAACTTCGCAACCACAAGCAAGGCAGCGGCCAGGCTCTCACCTTCTCACCTCCCTCAAATGCATCCAGGCTTTTTCGTCATCGACCCTCAGGGCGAGGCGATGGGCGAAGAGTACTGCCGGGCCTTGCACACCAAGGCAAAGAGACCCCGAAGTGAATTTGTTTGAGCCATCGCTGGCAAGCTGAGCATCATTCCATTCCAAGTTGCTTCGGGCTTCATCAGCAAGGGTTTCAGGAAAGTGGCGACGTCAGGAGAGGCAGGTCTGGGCCCACATGCCGTGGTTGGAGGCGAACTTCGCAGGATCTTAGGCCTGTGTGCAAATCGGGTTCCAAGCGTAGCAAAGAGAAGCGGTGATACAGCTTGGTCTTTCCACGGCGAGGCTTTTGACGGCCCCAGCGGACACAAAGCCCGGAAAGCCTCATGCTCGGATGAGGCCCGCGACGGTTCGTAGCCTAATTACGTACTCACACAGATGGAGTCTTACAAGCTGAATTTCCTTGATGTTGGTAGTGCACTGGGCAATTGCCAAATGATCCTGGAAGAAAACTCTGAATGGGTTTCGCCGGGATTTGTTGGTTGTCCGTTAAATTTTCAACCCTGTCCACCCGAGTCAGCACCGCGCTTAGAACTTGAATGGAAAGCCAGAGCCCGGAAATCGTGGGATTTAAACTTCTACGGCAGGATCGGGTTATGCAGCTATGCATGTTTAGCGTCAAGAGCGAGTCGAGTTTTTTGGACTCACGACTTCGGTCAGTCCACGATGTGTGTCGAGGGAAAGGCGACATTTGCCCGTGAGGTGTTGCGAAACTTCTCGGAGCTGTTTTTGTTTTGTGTTTTGGCATCCGGTCATTTGTCCATTGGTGTCAGCCCCACGAACTAGAAGCTGGGAAGTGGGAATGTGAAACTGGGACAAATGTGCGTTGCAGTGATGATCCAGGGCTTTGACTCCTCCGACGACGAGAGTGACGAGGAGGAGGAAGACTGGAAAGACCAGTGTGACGAAATGGCCGCAGCTTGCAAGCTAACTTAGCATGGAATCTGTCGAGAAGTTCATGGGAAGAAGTAAAAGCGGGGGAGATCTTGTTCTTGTGAGACGCTGAGTTGGATGGCCTGAGCCCCGTGTCTCGACATTTAGCAGGCGCCTGTCGCAACTGTTGCAAAGTTCGGGAAGTGGCAGGGTGCCGGGTTGATCGGGCAGCCCATGCTTCCTCGAGTTCCAAGCTCTCCTCTGAGGACTTGATGGGCCAGCAGCGTCAGATGGTTTTATGGTCGGGATCTTGGTAGTCAGATAGAAGCGGGAAAGATGCTTGACGCGACGAACGCCCTATACATCTGAAGTCCAAGCCCTCCCTCAGGCAGCACGTGTTGAGCTTATGTGATTATACCTGTCCAGTAGCTCTTTACCTGGCAGTGCCCAGAGCGAGTCCGCTCCCACTAGCGCTCATAGAGAGCTGTTATAAGTTGTCTTTGGATCACTCAAAGTGTTTTACGTCCAGAAGAAAATTTATTGCACAATTTCCGCATAGTCTCAGGTGGAATAAGACATGGCGTTGACGATTTCTGCTCTGCTTCCCGCTTCTGCTGGCATCGTGGGCGATGCTCTGCATGATAGGCTGTGAAGCCCACGGCTGCGAGCATGCAAGATATCTGTTAGCGGCATATGCCACTTGGCAGCTTGGTGCTGCTGTGCACAAAGTTTAAGAGGCCTGGGATTTGTAGCAGGTTCAAGAATATGTGGAAGTCTCTTCACTGCGGCAGCTCCACCTTGCACGAGTGGCATCGGCTGAGTTTTCGATCCGGACCGGCAACGCGAATTGCAGGTGGCCAGCTTTCGGATCCTTAGTTGAGATCTTCCCAGTCTCGAGCACGACATGTCGCAGAAGCAGGGATTCTTGGTGGGGTCGGGGGTGATGCGATACAGACAAGACACCGCGAATCCTTGCGGTTCTGAACACATGTGTTCCATGCTGAATACCGGACATTTGAAAACAATGCCTTGGCGAGCTCCGCAGGTACAATCCAGTGCTCAGAAGACAGGTTAAGCAAAGGGATGGAAGATTCACAACACGCAGATTCCACGACAATCTCAAGATTAAACGGGCAACCTCTATCTAAAACACAGGAGTTCTGCCAGCGTCTGGAAAACAATGTGCGGGCTCGACTTGTGCATTTGGCTCTCCTAATACCTTCGGGATATTGCTACTTCGGGACAGGAGTAGAAGTTTGGAGGATCACTCTTCATGGCACTTTGGTCCTGGTCGAAAAACTGGGATCTGCATTGCAAAGTCTTGACAGGGGTTCAGGGCTTCGTCGAAATGCACCGGCACAGAGAGCCAATCGATTCACTCCAATATGTACTCGTCCTCTGTCTGCGCACGGGCCCAGGAAGCCGCATGAACTTAAGAATCCAAGTATTGCATCGTTACATCTCACGTAGCAACCCAAGGTTTTTTGAGCTGCCTTGGCAGCTTTCTGAACTTTGAGGAAGTTTGAGCCGCGACCCTGTTCTCCTGCAGAGCAGAGTAAGCGTGCCCAGCAATAGCTTTGGTCATAGCGCAGACGGAGGACGAGGCATGTCTTCCGGCACGGATCTCCCCATCTAACCCCCCGAGCAAACCTCTGTGTAGGGGAATCTGACACATATATTCCGCAATATGCAATGCAAATCTTTGGATGGTGCCTTCTCTGGAGCTCTTCGCTTCAGGTGGCCGGGCTTTAGTGACTTCAGAAGCCGTGCTAGCAGAAGCGGCGTGCAGCAAACACAGCACCAAGACTCTTGGACCAACGCTTGCAGGTATAGGCTCCAGTGACTAGTGAAAGGATGCGTTGTTCTTGCGGAGACACACGAAGATACTATAGGAATGCCGAGAGCAGTTTGCAGAGATTAGCAGCCATGGAGGCGGAAGAGGCGAATAGGACCCATAAAAAGGACCCATGAGCAGCAACCCTGTTTTGAGCAAATTGGCACGTGAAGCCAGGGAGCTTCCGAAGGATCAGTTGGGCGCTGTTCCAAACTAAGTTGGCCGGAAGCCGGGAGTTGGCAATGAGATTCCAGAATTTTCAACGACGGGGAGGCCACCGTTTGGCACAGCTCCCGCCCATTCGCGTTGCGTCGCCTGCTATTCCTCAAGCCTCGAGGTGGTACAGGTCCATGCTGATTTCGAAGGTCAGCGATGGGCAATGGCAGACGTTGGAGCAGCTCACAGAAAGTTGTATGTGTTTCTGGAATCCACATGTCATGCAAAGGATTGCATTTCGATTGTGATTTGTTCCGTCACATGGCGTGCTGGTCTTGGCTAGGCTCCCGGGCAGCATCCCATGCGACCGTTCTCGACAGTTGAATTTGTAAACTGCATGCTGCGAGCAGATGAAGTAGTGTTGCTTTCACATGCCCCCGATTGCGACGACGACGTCTGCGCAAGAGCTCGTGATTTAATCGTGAAGATGCAGCGGCAAAGAAAACACGTGCAGTTGGACTATGGCACTTGGCTCTGAGCAGACATGGTCGCCTGCGGATCGGCCAGTTTTGAGTCGCCGGTCAAGCTCTGAAGCTTGGCCTCGAGAGGATACTAGCCAAACTCGGCGATGGGCTTCATGCTTCCAAACTTCAGAAGAGCGTCATTTAACTTCTAAAGATGTGCATCTTGACGGTCGCAAAAATTGCCAGCTGAGAGCCCTAAGAGAACCTGAAAGGGGCCGATGCCCTGTCAGGTTATCCACACCCGGCAGATTTCAATCCGGAAAGACTCGCTCAGATGAGGATATTAGCGGCGCTTCAGCCAGCTACCCTGCAGTGTGAGTGGACGGTGAAAAGATTGAGCGGGGGGGAGGGGGCAAGCAGCTAAGAAAGCAGCTCAAGGAAACAAAAGCAAGGTTGCATGAAATGGGGCAGTCACCACACACGTCGCCCCGAATTCAACAACCTGACTCGGGAGTTGCCTGCCGTCCCACGTAGCTAGTGTCGAGCTTCATACACATGGGCAGAGAATGCCAGGAGCCTCTGGGCTCGACGAGTTCAGCAACGCCGAAGCCAGCCGAGGCCAGGGCATGCGGATGGGCACTTCGGCTCAGCCGCGAATCTAGAATCTGGAGACGCGCACTCTACCTCTGTTCCCTTCTTCTCTCCTCTCTCTCTGTGGAGGATGTGGAGCCAAAGCGCTCTCCGATTCTGTTGTCGAACCAGCCGCGGTCATGAGAGATCGATTCCCGCATCGATTACCGTACAGAATCGGGATGGATGCATACAGGCACAATCCCACGAAACAGAGGGGTTTCTGCATGTTGGACACATCCCTGGTGTGAAGTCAACACAGCGTGCAAACATTCTGAAGTGGGGCCCACCCATGGTTATCTCCCATCCACGGCGCGCAGGCCTAACCTACGGAAACCTCTACATGTTGCACAAAGTCATGAAGCATCACAAACGCCCAGCCTTTTGTTGTTCATTGCGACGCATTGGGCCTGTGCGGCTAATCAAGGTGTTCAGTGCTTCTTATTGTCATCAACAGATCATAGCAACCCAGCCAACCGAAGTGCTCGCTACAGAAATGCAACTGGCTAGCCACTTCGATGGGATGTGTTACTTGTGGGCCTTGTGGGCTTGAGCGTTGAAATCAATCTCCGAGTTTGCCGTGCTGGAGCTTAGGGCCCACGTTGTTGAAGGTTTGCCTGACGTTATTGCTTAGGTTTTAGGTTTTGGGTTGTCAGGGTGTCAGATGTTGCGGATTAGAGGCATTCTTGCAGCGATCAAGCCAGAAAGAAACGGATAAACAAGTGGTGCTGCAGTCTCTGAAAGGAAAAGGTGCCTTTGCCGACGACTTCTACACCAGCCGAGGCGGTGTTGCATTGCTGCCCTTTTGTGGTGCTTGTTCGCGCAACACGGGCAACAAACATCATCTGGCAGACTCAGATGCTCAGTCACCCACCCGCTCCAACTCTCCTCCCCCTTCCCCTCCCTCTGTCAGCCCGTCCTCCCCTCCCTTACTCGCTCTCGCTCTCGCTCTCTCTCTCTCTCTCTCTCTCGCTCGCTCGCTCTCACAGTACCTTCACTCTGGCTATGACAGGTCAACACTGGTGGGGCGTACCGAGAAATACCAACGCCAGGCGCCGGACGTGCATTCATCTTGCCACCTTTGCAACACTTCGCGCACAGTGGGTCTGTGACGCAGGGTTTCGTGTCTTGCCTGTTGTTCAGGCAACCTTATCGGTGGATTGATGGGAAGAGGAGGCACGACAAAGTATTCTGCATGGTTCGCGTTTTCTCATTGAGATTCCTGGGTTTGGCGGCTCCAGTCTCGAAACGCACAGTCTCCGAGGTTTTCGTGGTCGTTTGGAGGAGTGTGAGCGGGCACTTGCTAGCACTTGAGTTTCGAACAGCCAGACCTGAGTAGGCAAAGGGTGATATTCCTCTCTCTGCGTGTGCGCGCGCACGAATCTTCCAGCCGCATGCAAATACATGTCCCTACAATACAACGCGACAAGATTGCGTTTCATGATGGACCTTCATCAGCTGTGGTGGCAGCATTGGCACGTTCAGTTTGTGCCGAGGTCTTGACAAGTTGATAAAGAAGCTTTAGCTCTGACTGCTCCGACCACGGAACACCAGCAGGTGCTACTATCACTGGCATCCGGAAAAACCACCCCGGTGTTACCATCAAGGCGCAACAGCTGATCGCATCAGGATCAAGCATGTTTGTGGCATTCCGGCATTGCGACAAGTAGGGATTTGGTTGGGATGAATGTTGGCATCTCGCTTCCTCGAATTACTCCTCTGCGTTTGAGTGTGCGCGAGCAGCCCAACAACCGAGTAAGCGCCTTGTCCTTGTCCCCTGCATGCCAACACAGCGGCGTACAGTGACCACCATAAGCCTGCTGTGTCACAGGTCAATCAGCCAGCTGGGGCGTCTATGGCATCGATCATCATCACCGGAGATCCCAAGATGGTTCCCTCTGCTGAGGCCCGACGCACCTCTTCAGGCTTCATGTGGGTAGCATCGTTTGTTTATGCCTCTTCAAGGACGGTACACGATGCAGGTGGAGCTCAAACGGTGTTGTCAGAACTCGGCTCAAGCCTCTAGAGACTATGATTGAATATACGTGTGTATACTGTATATGTATATAATATCATTATCCATAGATGCGATCTTCCGATGTGTACATCGTCTCATCCACCGAATGGTTGGAGCCCAAAACTCTCGCTGAAAAAGACTGCAAGGATCCTGTTCTAAAGGTGCTGACCTTGAAGCGCTTCACTTAGGCAGGAACAGAGAGCGCACTACGCCACACCCTGTTTAACATTGATGTCCAGTCCTCGGAACGACCTCGCGTTCCAAAAGACAAAATCTATACGTACTCAAACGGGGTGCGAAGCTTGTGGTGGCAGGTGATGTCATGAGTCAGCCTGTGGGTGGTGCCAGATCCCCTCCATCCACTGTAGCGCAAAGACCTCATTTCCTTGCAGGTGGCGGTGGTCGAGGTCGCAGCGCCTGGGTTGGCTTTTCCCGGGCTTTCGGGAGCGTTGGTCTTGACTGGTTTCGTCAGAGTTTCGGACTCCTTTTTGGTATTTCTCTCTCTCTCTCTCTCTGTCTCTCTCTCTCTCTCTCTGTCTCTCTCTCTCTCTCTCTATATGTATGGTACCCCCCCCCGAAAAGATCCATGTATTTGATCTGTGTTCAGGTCTTTCCCCTGACGATCATCTCCTCATGACCATCCTTCCACTCACGATCGTCTCCTCATGACCGCACAAAACCCCTCCTTCCACTCACATGTCTCAGATCATCTCATCATGTCTGCACAAACCGACCATCTTGAAACCCAATGCGGCCCAATATTTCAATAATCGCTTCCCCCTATTATTAAAGCCTCCCCTAATATTAAAACTGCCGCC